TTCAATCGTTTCTTTGAAATAACGAGCTCGATGCTTATATTTAAAATTCTACCTCACATCTGTATATACAAAGTCCTCATATTAATTTTTCCCGATATGGAGAAGTTATAAAAATACATTTTCAAATGATCAGAAGAAGTGGACGAACGTGTTTTCGATAGTCAAGGGGCGTCTACGATCCAGCATTAAATTGTTTCCAATAGAACAAACGGAGAAAATACGCTCGGTCTCCTTGTATTTAATACATACATAAACATACTCTAGCATCGACCAACACATGCACATACGTTCACGTGCATTCGACATATAGACGTAAGCGGACGTTGGTTTTTCGATCGGTTGAGCGCGTTTTATACTTAAAACTCGGGCATCGCTCGCTCACGTACAAGCGCCGCCTTCCGTTTTCACTTGGTCTCCACCGCCTGACGTTCTGACCTAGTTGAGGTTTTGTGTCCGTAGTGCGAGCTCTCGCTAAGAAAAAGGTCTTCTCTTTCTTCGTTCTCAGCTTCTTCTGTCTCTTCTTCCTTCTTTTCTTCGTTTCATTAGCGACGATTACAAATTAACGCATAAAACTGCCTAAGTTACAATTACGTGCCATAACGAGCTTTTTCTTTCTAATTGTTCGACTACGTTATCATTATTTTCACTTATACATATTTTTATTCTTTATATTATATATTAATAAGTTTTATTATTACTAATAAATTGATTATAATGTACGAGACTGCTTTTTTTTTTTTTTTTTTTTTTTTTTTTTTTTTTTTAAGAATCTTTCATATATTTAGTTTGTGCATTTGAAATTCATTGACATCAGTTATATATAAATTTTGCATTCATTTACAAATTAGTGTAAATATTTACGGACGTCTTTTAATTGCGCTAAATATAATTGATAGAAGCGATAGTTAATATTTGATATTATCATAAATATGTATTACAATCAGAGTATATGCCAATTTGACAATTGTTCTCATAATCTTGGATAAAACGTCTATTTGTTATGTGATGCTTGAAAAATAAGAATGCGCTAATGGCATGTAAGGAATAATATTTCAAAAAAGTTTTGTCATCTATTTGAAGATAACGAATAAAAATAAGTTTACAAAGTTCAAATCTTATGCCATTAAAATTAATATAGAAACAATTACGTATAGAATAACAAATACGTTACTATTACTTACCCATTATAGTTTATTTGTTATTTCCAAACTATTTATGAGTAATCTTAATAATTCTAATTAATACAATGTGTATCTTTTCATTAAAATTTTGTTTTAATGTAAAAAAACATTTTCAACATAAAATTCTTAAAATATATTGGAAAATCGTTTAAAATGTATTGCAATATATTTTAATCATCGTATTATCCAAAATTATCTACTTTATTACAAAAGTGTGTAACATTAAGTAATTTTTTATTTTTAGACTTTTACTTATATAATACACAAAACTGAATAATGTTAGAAATAAATAAAATCATTTGAAATAAAAATAAAAATAAATAACAATTAATATAAAAATTAATGATTTGTAATTGTGAGAGAAATAAAAAAAAAAAAAAAAGTTATCTAAACGATATTTATATTTTCAATGATTATCTTAATCAATTATATACGTTTAATTTATATAATTTATATTATATTTCATTGTTCCTTTATTATTTAATAGAGATATTATATCATAATATGTAAAAATAATGTTATTTGTTCAATTATTCATATTTTGCGGCTATTAAACATGACCGGTTCATTTGAGAGACGTTTACAATAAATTGAGAAAATTCTTTCCATTAACTTAATATTTTATTAAAATATTATGTCAAACGACATATTGTGATAATCTTAGAGTAAATTATTAGAATAATTGTGTCTGATTGGTAATAAAGACGAGTCTCACTTTATGACATATTTATATTATTTGTTGATACAATTGCTCGATATATATTCAAATTGTTCTATCTATAATATAGGTCGTGACTCGTATATGTAATTGATGATCGAGCGTGAGAGCTACGGCTCGTTCAACAGGCCAGTTTACAAGGAAAATGAGAATGATTATGAGCACCTGTGAATGGATGATACTCTTGTAATGGGCGCGATATTAGCGGGCCGAGGCAAACTGGCAATTTTCCGGTGTACGTAGGATAACGCAAAAACGCTTTCATAGCACGGCAGCCGATCTTTTAGTGACTCTTTATGGCTTTGCGAAAGCAGTAAAGAACTGGAGCATAATCGGGAAAATCGGATATTATTCTTTTAGAGGAGCAGTGATGCAATACGTACCAAAGTATGGCGAAATGGCATAATAAAAAGATGTGATTACACGAAGGATTGATAGGCGTGTAATCAGAAATCCTTTATATTATTGAACATCAACGTACAATATAGTTATGTCCTTAGATTAGTAGAATCATGTATTTATTAATAATACGGTATATATACTCTTTTTAATCGAGATTAAGATAGTTATTTCTGATAAACAGGTAGGTATTCGTTCCTATCTATTTGAGAGAGAAAGTGTAAGATCAAAGTTGCTTGGATGTTAGCTGAATATATAAATCGTATGAAATGATAATTGCAAACATTTGCTTTTTTTTTTAAACTAATTGTCGATAAATTATTATATACACTTAAAGAATATTAGATTAGATTAATATGATTATTTGATATTATATTATTATGGTTACAGCATGTTTAACGCTTAAATATTCAATTTTCTTCAGATGAAAAATATTTAGTTCACAAAGCCACGCTTTACTAATATCAATTGCTTTTGATAATTAATTATATCAAAAAATATTATTATTTGTATATCTTAGTAATTAAATTTTCTTAAATAATCTTAACTAATAAGTAACATTCACAAATGAGTCACGGAAGTAATTTTTACAGTTGCAATAGCTTTTTAAATTACTCTTATTATTATAAGTCTAATATAAAATTATAAGAAATAATTTAAAAATATCCTTGTATTATTCAATTTTGTACATATTAAATTAATAACTATATTTTTTATGATAATGATTATACTGGTTCGAGAATTCCAAATTTAAAATTGAAAATACTTTATTATAAATATAATTATAATATTTCATGGTCTATGCTAATTCTCTTCAATGTATGGTGTAAATATTTTAGCATTAATAAAATGTGATAATATTTGCATTATTTGAATAAAAATCTGTTTTATGATAAAATGTTATCATTATAATATAGTTTTAGCTATAATTTAATTATAATTAAAATTACATTCTTCAAGTATAATAATAGAGAAATAGAATATATAAGAATAACTAGAATATAGATATTTTACAAAGTCTATTATTTTTGTTAGTTTCTCTCTCTCTCTCTCTCTCTCTCTCTCTCTCTCTCTCTCTTTCCCTTTTGTAAACCGATTGTGAATATTAGTTAAGAGACGACGATGTAGATTATATAGGGCTGCTCAATGCAAAGAGTAGAGATAAATAATGACGAACAAAAAAAAATGCGCGTAAATAAAGGAAAAAAAAACGATTGAAAAAGAATGGAAGCAACGTGAAGGTGGGAATGGAAAAGCCTGTCGGCTTATCACAGTAGCAAGATAGGTGGGTAAGTCGGGCGAGAGCGATGAGAATGTCGCAGTGGGGATAAGGGGAGCGAGCCTGGTACACCCGTAGGTATGCGTGTACAAGAGGAAAGCTAAGGTAAAGAAATGATTAGGCGCCATGTATTTGAAGGTTGTCTTGCATGTTGATACGCTGCTATAAATGAAAATCTGAAAAATAAAATTGTTGCGACATGTTTGCTTTCCTGCTATGATATTCTATATTCATCCTCGTATTGCCAGATTATCCTCGTATTTAGAATTATTTTATGGTCATTTGAGTGTCGATATTGAAAAGCATCGGTAGATACTTTAAACGTTTATCCTTTTTAATATTTTCAATGTTTTTATACTTTTATAGATAGGATACTTTTAAATGACACATATTTGTCTTTTTGTATATTAAATAAACAAATTATTTTCTCTGTCATTTATATCTTGCCTAAAATATAAATATATAATATTTCATTTTTATTCATAATATTATACTTTATTAATAGTTTATACAAAATAGTTATAGAACGAATATAATAGACATACATAGAATGAAAATTCTTCAAAATATTTTATTTCTATTAAAAGCCCTAAATCAATTTACTGTTTTAGGAGCCGTAAATTAATTCTATCACTTAATTTATCTTAGAAAAAAATCTTTGACCAAGATTTTAAAATAACATCAGTCTAAAAGCTTTTTTCGTGTTCTATCGTAAAAAACGACGTATAAGAGAAGTAAAAAAAAAAAAAAAAACATGTATGTAGTAAAATACAAGATTCGAAATTTTGCTTTTATCTAAAAGTCCATTATAACAACCTACAACCTACAATTATTGCGTTCATTTATATACCAATACAAACTATGTTTTAACCTACAATTAAATCGAAAAGAAAGAACATACAACTGCCGACGGATTAATAAAGAATAATTCTATAGAAGTTTCTATGTACAAACTCACGTAAACGAGTATGTAAGTAAGAGCGATGCATTTACATATGCACAAACACGCGGCAACTTTTCATGTAAAGGAAAACAACACGAATACGGAACCAAGCCTCTCGTCGTAAACGGAACCTAAAGCGGACACCCGTAAAAATCTCCCTACAATCATTTGGGAACAAATTTATGAACGGTTCACTCGCAGGCGCTACACCTTTCTGTCGATAAAAGGAAAGAAAAATAAAGACGCGCGCGCGCTAGTACGAGACGGAGGAGGAAAGCGAGCAGTAAGGAAGGGATGGATGCTGCTTTTCTTATTGCTCGTCGGACTCGCTTCGCTCTGGTGGTTGCTGCGCTCCTTGTCGCGGTAAGAGAGAAAAAAAGCATCTAACGCGTCGATGGTGGGGTTAGATGTGCTATCCCCGTGGGGCGCACGCATACACGTGTAGAGAGGCCGACCGGATATATAGAGCTAGGGCAGGGCTTGCGCTACGTACAGTTCACTTAGAGTGCTCTCTGCAAGTGAAACACGCATCTCGATCTCTTGCCTATTCAACGCCGGACGGCATCGAGTGTCATAATCCGTACAACGTCTAGGAAGGATCGACCGTGGGAGGGATCCAGACCTTTGTTGATTCGTATCGAATCGCGTTATTCACATTCTTTTGTACGCTAAGGTACGGATTTTTCTCGTTTCTTTCGGTCATTTGTTATCATTGCTCTTTTAACTTACTTATTATCAACCAAGTCTGCCCACGACTGACCCTTACTACTGCGTTTTCGCAAGTACTACTTACAAAACTTAAATGAATTTTAGGATAGTACTATATTCTATATTGGGACTATTCATTATTATTATAGTAGAATATTTTTAATTATTTAGAGAATTGCTATTCATACAATATACTAAATATTTAAATTATATTATTCTTACAAGATACAATTAATATTATCAATACATACAATAAATGCGTATTAACTTATTATTCGTATTTTTCATACTACTACGATAAGTCTTTAGATATTTAAATAAATATAATTAAATAAACAAGCACAAATGTATACATACATACATGTGTTGTCTTGCCTTTTATTTTATTTTTTTATTTTACAATCAAAGAAATACTTTTTTTTAAATGAAATAAGATTTATGTATTAAATAACTTCATTTATTCATTCATATTTCCATACTGAAAGTATAAAATCTTTCAACTTACATATTTTTATACGTGTACGAATATTCATTAAAATACCTAGACACCAGCACGTGTGTGCACGCCCGCGCACAAACACACACACACACACACAACATTATATTATATTATGATGCATTTAATAATATATTATATTTTTAAATATTTGAATATATTTATGTTAAAATATTATTTTTAATAATTTATATATTATTCTTTTTTCATTATTAATGTATTTAACTGTTACTAAACTCATCATATATTTATACGAAAAAAATGTACTAAAAATATATAATTAGATATTCCTATATATAATATAATAAATACTATTTTAATAATATACCCGAGTAAGTTTTTTTCCGTTTATTGAGTTATGATAATAAAATTTATTTAAGTGAAGTATGAAATTATTATAGTAATCGGACATCAATGTTAATAATATTTATTATATAATGATGCATGAATGTATTATTGTCTATCTTTTATTTTCTTAGAGCTTTTATTCGCTTGCAAGAATATTTTGTATCTTTTGTTTATTTATAATAGTAATTTCATTTAACAAAATCCTTGAACTTCATACATATTCGATAAATAAAAAAAAATTATTTAATAAATTCTTAATTATTTCAGTGTATAGTATATATATGTATATAGAATTTCAATGCAATTATATGAAAAAATATTTGATAAGAATAAATGAGAATTTTATAATAATATACATTCGAATTGATAAATTTATATATTTTATGAATAATTATAAACATCTTAGAAACGTCAAATCTTATAAACAATTCAGCTGAAAAAAAGTAAATATATATATATATATATATATATATATATATATATATTTATAATTTTAGAATACAATAAAATTATTAAATGCTGATATAATATTGTAAAATTAAAGAATTTTTTCTTTTTTATATTGACTATGATTATATATACACATTCTAAAAAAACTTGCCTAAATAGAATGATCGTTTATTCATAAAATATCCTAAATATTTTATAATGACATAGATTAAACCAAAAATTTATATCAATTAAAAAAAAATAATATGTGATAATCTATTTATGTTTTTAAAAAAATCTGACTATGGACTATTGATTTTAAAATATGAAATATATTTGTATTTTTGACAAATGAACAATAAATATTATTAATTATTATGTACATTTGTATGATCAGTGGAAAATTTTAATATACTAAGCAATTAATTATCTACGCTATTACTACTATTTAAGTATTACATATATGTAAATTATTATAATTCTAGACACGAGGTGTAAGCAAATTAACAAAATGCAGAGTTCAGTGCATTGTTTGTCCGCTTTCTTATTGGCATTGCTCTTGGCCATGAATTGCAATGCCCGTTCAGCTGATCCATCTCCTCATCCCTCGAACGCCATTGACTCGGAGCAAGGACGTTCGGCGTCGGCGTCGCCATCAGGGGCGGTTGGAGGCGTTTTCGGTGACCTTCGTGCAGTGTACCAAATCTATAAAGATTGTGCCGGTCCTGAAGTCAGCAGCTGTTTGAAGCTTAAATTATTAACGACAATGGAGCGAGCATCACGAAGTGTACAACTCAACATAATCGAAGGTGTTACTCTTGTCAAGGACGAACAAGCCAATATTAATACGGAGGAGCCCATGAGAACATCCCAAGAAATTGAAGCCTCATTGCCTAGGAGCCTCGAAGACAAGGAAGATGCACTTAATTCCATGATTGTTGACAAGGCTGTTGGTTTTCTACAAAGCCACACCCTCAAGGTCAAGTTACCGAACGTCGAGGAATTACAAAGGAGTTTGACCGAAGAAGGTAATATTAAAAAATTTGATAAAATTTGATACATTATATAAGTACAGATTAAATCTAATATGATAAAAGGAAATGCGATTAAATTTTTTTTTCCTTTTATCAATTTCATTAATTAATTTATATATATATCTAATTTCTCAAAGTATTATATATATATATATATATATATATATATATATATATATATATATATATATATATATATATATATATATATATATATATCTAATTTCTCAAAGTATTGTTATATGCGTGCGTGCGTGCGCGTGTGTGTGTGTGTGTGTTAAATTTTAATAACAATACTTTGAGAACCACTAAATTTTACACGTCTAATTTAGATACTTATGTAGTATAAATTATATTCTTACCTTATAAATAGAAATATAATAGAAGTAGCGTTTTCTTTCTATGAAAATAGTTTCCATAAAATACATAGGTTAATAGAATTCTTTTTTACAAAATTACCGTTGAAAATTTAATAAAAATTTTAATTCTGAAAAACTTAATTTAATGTGGATTTTAAATGTAAATTTTTTTTTAGATTATTATAATTGTTTTAACTAAACTGACTAAGATGATATTCAATTTGAAATATAATCGGATCTTTAAAAACTAAGTCGGACCATATTTGGATATGAATTACCTTAAATGGAAAACTGGTTTCAAAAATTAATGGCCGGAGTAAACTTTCAATTATGTTAATCATCTGCTTAATATTTATAACTGTTACCAAATATTGTGAAAAATTGGAATTCATAACAGTTAAACATAACGAGATATCACTTACAATATTATTATATTATAAATACACTCGTTAATTTAACGATAATATTATGTTGATCGAACTTAAATTAAGACAATGTTAACGAATTAAAAAAGGTAGAAACGGCTTTTAAGGATTTAATACAGTTAAATCCATATTTTTTTTAACATTTATAATAAGAGTTTATATGCATCTGTGTGGCTTTAAGTATGCGGGCGTAAATTTTAAAAATCTTAAAAAATAAATCTTAAAATCTTATCTTAAAAATACTTGAAATTTTCAAGTTGCACATGAAAAATTGAGCACGGTAAACTTATAAATTTTATAATTAAAATCTAAATATTGAGACAGCCTATAAATAAACAAAACGTGATTTCATTTGTTAGGCCGAGGCAAGAAGAGGAAAAACATGAGCGGTCTGATGGCCATTCCCCTGCTTATTGGCGGCACCCTCGTGCCATTGGCGCTCGGAGCCCTCGCTCTCTTAGCCGGAAAAGCTCTGATCGTAAGCAAATTGGCACTGGTATTGGCTTCGATAATCGGCTTGAAGAAACTAGTGTCTGGCAACGATCATGGTCACCATGAGGTCCATGGCGGCGGTGGCTGGGCCAGATCGGGTCAGGAGTTGGCCTACTCCGCATATAAGCCAATTGTGCCCACCGCCACCTCTTAATCCGTCGGATCGGTCGCACAGAACACGGTTATCTTTTATCACTCGTTGTCTTTTTAATGATTTGCACTGAGAGATACTACAAAGAGGAGAGGAGCTATGCTTGTTTCCTGCATACATCTCGGACAGTAGTTTCTCTTCAAGGGCTATGTTCTTAAATGCTACTCCTCCTATTGACCTCCGTATTTCATGATCCTCGTCCTTCATTGCTCATTACTCATTCCTTGGTTATTTATTTTTCAATCGCCGAATGTCCTTACCGCTCATATCCGAATACTCTTAACATCTTGCTCCGTTCACTTCATTTCTATTTCCACCCTATCTGTCCTTTTTATACGAAGAAAATGAAAGAATAAAACTCGAACTTAAACGTGATTCACATCGATCGCGAACACGTGTATGTATATTTATAGATATTTAATAAATTATAAGGAGACACCTTTGAAATCAAAAGAATAAAACGTTGCTAATTATTTCGTACACCAACCAAACATATCGTTAGCGATTGTGATGTTTGAGTCTCGGTACAGATCGAGGAGAACGAAAGAGTAAGAAAATGGACATTAGAAAGCAAGGGAGACAGAGAGAGAGAGAGAGAGAGAGTGAGAGAGAGAGAGAGAGAGAGAGATGTATGAAGGTGAAAATAAAAAATTTCGGAGAACGGTTCCAGAAAATGCGTGGGTATCGTAGAATAGTCAGTATTAACGGCAGTTCGGAACCGGTGCGGACCATCTGCTTAATTATCAGAGCCTGACAATCCGCTCGCCCGAAAATTCATTTATTTAGATACGCGGAGCATCTCGGTACTTTTCCTTTTTTTTTTCTTCTATATTTTGTTTCGTTCTCATTAGCTGCTCGAGCGAAAATATTGAGCTCTCATCGGTGTCCTATGAAACGGATTTTAATTTAATATTTACATTGAACATTGTTATTATATGATATATCGAGCAAGTAACCTTAAGCTTATAATAAATACGTTGTTGAGATTAATAGGAAAACAATTATAAAAAGTAATCTACTTACTGCTCTGCTTACGTACATCCACGAGTATAGTTACACATATATGTTTGCAACATATTTTGTATAAAAAATATAAGAATTAGGTATATTGGAGATTATAAACATGTCACTATTGAATTTTAAAAGCTATTTTCATTTATCGTTTTGAGAAAAATATTAATATCGGTAATGTAAAATCAGTATTCTCTGAGAAACGTAATGCTAGGAGTGCTTAGCTGTAATTTTTGTGTATATTGCATTTAGTTTTATTTGAAATTAATTAGCATTTATCTGTTACTAAAGTATGACAGTACAACATTTAAACCTGCACCTCCAATCAATATATACTTTTATTAGCTTATAATTTATTTTTATTACCCCTTTACATGAAGTTCATATGATATCGTTAAAGCTTAAAAATGTTAAATTACGTAAACGTAAGACAATAGTTTTTTTTTTTTTTTTTTTTTTTAATGTAAAGTTTAAATAACAATAGTTTCACATGTACTTTCGCAATTACAGCTTCTTATACAATAATTTAGATTATATAATCTAAGTAACTTAAGCTCATAATATCCATAATAAAATTAAAATTAAATTAATAAATAAATTAAATTTTATTAATCAGAAATGAAAACTATGATATAATTTGAACGTTAACTTGCATTGGATATTTAAATAAATTATTTATTTAAAATAATTAGGATACTGATTATTTTGTATAATTGTATGAAATACATTTCTATTTGTACATCTTAACTATAATTAATGACACTTAATAATTTCTCACTTATGAAAAGTGTATAATATTAAAGTAAATTTTATAATATTTTTTGTTGCCTATAATTACTATTAACTGATAATCTGCGAAGTATTTATTATTGCTACACTATACAATTATATTATAATCTTTTGATATATTATAATCTTTAATTACTTTTTTTATGAATATAACTATTCATGCTTTATGTTGATAAACTATTATTGTTACTTTTAGTCCAATGGAACTTTTAGATGAAAGTTACAGATGGAAACGCAATATGTATTTAACAAAGCAGAAAATTTCTTGTTTTGCCAGATGTAAACATTGTAATCATATAAATTTAACATTTTGATATATTTATTTGCATTGTATATTTATCGTATGCATATAAATTATTCTTAAATATCAACCATTACAATGTACAAGTGGAATTTTATATTTTTAGTAAGAATTCTCAAACTAAAGGCTAAAAAAAGTCATTTATACAGATAATTTAATTATTGAATTTCGTCTATTATTAATTTCAATTATATCCTGTGATTAATAATATATTTTTCGAAAAAAGATTCAAATTTTAATGGGCTCCTTAAATGAACAACATTAATAGAAATATTCAAAGCTACAAACAGTAGCGTCAAGGTCCTTCGGTATTGCAAGTGAACATCTTTACTGTCAAGCCGCGAGCAAGACTTAACTCTGTTGGAAACGTGCGGTCAAGCATACGTCGAAAAAGAGAAAAAATAAGTAATCAGTCTCTTGAGTCTTGGTCGCCGAACTCCTACGAAAAAATCGATCTCTCTTTTTCGCGATGCAGGCCAAGAGGTGCCGCACCACGCAGTTAAGTGCAGCGGCTGCGGACGCAGGAGAAAAGAGTGCGTCACCTACTTGCAAAAAACGCGAATGTGCGCATAAGCGCAAGCGCACGCGCACGCACACGCGCTCGATTAAGTAAACCAGGTCGTGTGCGCGCGTCGAGAGCTGAGAGCCAACGGGTTGGGTTGGCCCGTAAATTCAAGGCAACGAGGCAGCATCCGCGCCTTCTCTCCAACGTACACTGGGTGGTCCAGCACGTTTTGCACATGCGTTTTGTTTTTTCCTCCTTACGTTCTTCACTCATTAATGTACCTGTTTTTCCCTAGTTGTCAATTTTTTTTTCTTTTGCAAGCTCAATTGCCCGATGCTTTCGATGTTGGGGCGATGGATTGCTTCTTCGAGGAGTTATTATTGAAAGGCAATTTTCGGAAAAGTAAAAGTTCTATCTTATGCATCGAAGCATTTGAAAGGTTTTCTGCTATTTCTATAATAATGATTATTTAAAAATTATAGACATTGGTGTAATATTATTAAGTTATTAAGATCATACAAACTTTTCCTTTGATAATTCAAGTCTAAAATACGAAAAACTTATAGCGATTATATAAATATTACCACGTAAGAAAATTTGAAATTCTTAGGTTTAGCTAATCACAATTCTTCTTAATACTAATGATTTTTTTCGTTTTCATTCATTATCGTATAACACGATACGTATACAATCTGTTATAATTATTAAAAAATTTATTATAATTTTGAACTTTAATAAGTTGACGTTACAAGTTGAACAATATTGACAATATCCTTCCAAATAATATATAATAATTATATTTTGTAGACAATGTACCAGAAAATACTTGTATGTGAATAAGAATTTTTATGACTTGACTTATAGAAATAGATTTCGAAAAGTAGAAATAAAGTAGACATAAGAAAGAATGATCGAACTTACTTCTGTTACATCGTTAAATTTGTAAATATACAATTTATTATATTGATTTTCGTTAAAATACTTTCTTCTTGTTTTAATCGAAAACGTTCTTTGTTGAATTCTATTATTTTTCTATTGTCTAAATTTTATTTTTGACAGTTCTTCAGAAACATCAGTTAGAATTAAGAACAGAATTACGAATTTAATGAATTTAATTAGCTCATTATTTTAATCTCTTACATATTTATTTGTATATAATGTTCGATTAATTAAATTTTTTATTTTAATTTTTATTTATTTAATATTAATATTACGAAAATATTTTATTGGTAAGAATTTAAATTGAATGAAATGAGAAAAAAATTTTCATAAAAATTTATACCATATTAATTATTTACTTATTAGGATTTTCAAGAAATAAAAATTGTGTACTGTATATTCGAAAATTGGAATTATTTAGAATGAATTCTTTCTTTTTAAAACGTAACGGTATATGTCGAAGCAAGACGCTATAAAGTTTCGTTTATATTGCAAGTCTAGAAGTTGCAAGTATGTAAAGTTATAAATGGTATCTATGATGAAAGACGTTCTGTTTTATTTAATATTACGAACGTATAACAGTAATATCATTTTCTATTCTTTTATTAGCTATTTCATAAAGAAAAATATAAATGCTGATATCTGATTGCGTATTTTATCATTTGATAAATACACTTTATTTACAACGAGCAACAATTTAATGAATAAATAACATATAAAAACGAATATTGTATACATTTTTTAATTTCTGTATTCTATTATAATTCTATATTATATCATTCGATCATTTAATTAATTTATTAATATTTATTAATAATATGCAAATGGATTAAAAGTATGAAATTAAGTATGAGAATTACAGAAACATTAATAATTTTGTTTTATATTAAATTTTAAAATATTATATAAAACGCTAATTAAAATGTTAATTCATTATAATGTGCAGAAATTTTATATATGAATAACATTCCATATATTTTGTATCTGCTATATAGTAAATTTAGAAGAAAACCCAAATTTTACTATTTTCATATTATTTATGTATAATTAGAAATTGATAATTCCTGCTATAATGTGCAAATTTTATCTTTAGAGAGCATTTTAAGTGCCACAAATCCGATTTTGTACTTTGAACTCTCACGCGATTCGGAGGAATTTCTTGCTGCGCATTCCTAATGAAAAAGCAAATGAGAAAGTGGATGTCCTATAGCTGGTGATAGGTGGCAACTGTAAAAGTATTCCTGTTGACTGTTGTCCTCTTTAGATTCATATATCCGTTCATATATTCTGCTATTTCAACGCCGATCATAGACAGCAATTTGTCAAGCTTACGCTCATTGAATTCTTGCACTCAAGATCTCAATTGTTGTCGATAATATTTTATCTGATAAACTCATTCGATTAACGATTGACAAATGAATTCTACAAGTTTGTTGTATCTAATGTAATTGCAATTGAGATTGATGTTTTTACATCGAAATCCAGTGGTAGGTAATCATATATCATATTTCTCAGACACGTGGGACTATGATGTTAAGATTCATTATCGTTTACAATAACATGGTATTGGCTAACATTCTAAGAAAGTTCTAAGAAAATTTTTTTATATTTGAATACAATAAAAATATAGATAACTTAGGTAGACATTTTATTATACATGAATGACCAATAGACAACAAAGACTTCATAATAAATCTGTTATGTGAAGACAACTCGATTAAAACAAAAAAGTTAAATAATTTACGATAAAAATAATCTTTTCTAAGATTCTAAAAGTAGAACATAATGACATTCTTAATGGTTATCAACATTAAATATCAACACATGTATTGTGTTACTGCTATAAAAAATACGAGTCTTTTTGATTTGCGCATAAATTAATGGCCTCGATATTACGGATCTATATGTAAA